CTTCTATTTGGAGCAATGCGCTTATGGCCGATCCTCAATTATAAGCGCACCCCCTGTGAAAACGTTACTTATTATAAGCGCATGTACAATTTTAAAGTAAAATTTCTGTTCAATACGGTAGCGGGTTTCAATTTTGAAGCGAGTGCAATCTCATTTTCGCTTAGTTTGACTCTCGAAGACCTGACTGGCTGCGCGTCCAGTCAGGATGTGCTGGCATGACTGCAAAGTGTCGCATCTTGGCACCAGTGTGCTGGAAGATCGCTTGCAGGCGATTCTGCTTTGTGACGCGAATTTTTTCGACTCGGTTGAAATGGCAAGAGTGAAATATACAATTTGGTGTCTTAAATTTATAAATTTATATATGTCATTATATAAGCGCATGCGCTTATAAAAATGGCTCAATTAGAAGTGCACCCCCCTAAAAAACACAGTTTCATTATAAGCGCACATGCGCTTCTATCCGGGGTGATACGGTACCATGTTGGGCTGAGAAAAGCCCTTAGGATCGTTTTCAAGACTAAGGCTCAGAATAGTGATGTATTAGCGGAAGCGTATTTAGTGAACTGGTTGAACCACCTTGCACTGGTATGTGAGAACAAGATAAGTTGATAATAGGAAAGAGATACAGGGCTTTATATGAATACAAGGAATACAAAAGGTTTAATTAACTGTAACTGCTGTTGCGGTTCGATACAGCGACGACGCGGGTAACTGCTCAATAGTGAGTCAGTTATGTGTCCTTGCTGTCGCGCTGCTTTTCGGTGAGTCAAAGGTCGCTAACCTTTTACCTTCACTTAACCTCTTGCTGTTGTCTTTCTGTCAACCGCTTTGGTTGACTCGCTGTTGCTTTTCTAGTGGGAATAACATCCCATCTGGAACTCCGGTCTGTGTGCCTCCTATGGGGATGCAGTCGTCACTCTGCGACCTTGCAAAGTGCCGCGTGTGCGGGTCAATACTAATCAGGTGGTGTGCATTTCGGTGCATCTTTGTCCATTGCTGTGCACTTTGCTCCCCTCCTGGAGTGTCAACAGAGTACGAGGCCCTGATGGATGAAGAGGGGAAGGCCCTGACGGATGAAGAGGGGGAACGCTTGGGAGAACGAGTGGGGAAGCGCGGGGGCTTGGATGGGGAGACAGACGGGGGATTGGGGGAGGAGATGGGGAGGGTGGGGCAAGGGAAAGTGGGGGAAAGGCTGGGGGAGGCGGGGGACTGGGAGGACGAGGTTGCAGAGTCGGTTAAATCCGGGTGTATGGTAATGGGAGGGGGCCGGGGGAAGTTCAATGGGGAATGCTTGTGTTGGCCACTTGGAGTTGCGCTGCCAGCAGACAATTCCCGAGCATCCCTAGTACTTGCCTCCCAAACTGTTTCCCCGGTAGGTGATTGGTTTCCTCTGATCTCTTCCCCCTCAAACTGCTTCTCCGAAAAAACTCCCCTTGCTGCGCCTTTCCGCTGCACTGGCTGCGCCGTCACGACTCCGTCATCGTTATCGTCATAGTCATCATAATCGTCATAATCGTCAAGGTTAGCAGCAGAGGCGCGGGGGAACAAGGCGCGGGGGAACGAGTCGGAGGGAGTTCCGGCGGAATCGGATTTGGCGGGCCAAGCGCGAGGGTATGTGGTGGAGAAAGCGCGACGGGCGCCGCGCTCTACGATGGAAAGGGGTGTGGCGGAGCCGCGTTCTACGGTGGACCATGCTCTGCGGACGGCGCGGCTGCTCCGATTCGCGGTGCTGCTACTTGTATAGCCGTTACTTGAAGTATAGACGTTACTTGGAGTATAGTCGTACCCACTACTAGTGCCTGCAGCTTCGAGGGCCTCGAAATCCTCCTCGAACCCCTCAAAATCCTCGACATTCCCGAGATTCTCGAAAGTCGCGAAGTCCCGTTCTGTCGCAGACGCTGCTCTACGGGCGGTGCGACGGTTGCCAATCATCGCAGTGCGCTCAGTGCGACGATTGCTAACGCTTGCTTCTAAACCCTCTAACGCATCCAAGGCCTTGAGGTCCCGTTCTGACACAGACGCTGCTCTGCGCGCGGCGCGACGATCGTGCGAAGGCGGAGGACCGAGGGTGTGATGACGAGGCGACGAGGTGACGAGGAGCCGAGCGAGTCGCGGTGACGAGACGAGGTGGCGGCTCGGTAGAGATATAGGTGAGGGCGCGTGACGATATGACAGCGACGCGGGTGGGTGGGGCAAAAGGGGCGCATGGCGGGGATAGCGAGGTGAAGACGCCACGGGGGCAAGATGAGGCGAGGCGGAAGAGATTTTGGCGGGAGACGAGGGTTCCCGCTTCTGCCGAGACGCTGGTGCTGGTGCTGCTTCGCGACCCGCCCCTTCAAATGATGAAAGCTCCCCTCCTCCTCCTCCTCCTCCCCCTCACCCTCCGTCGCCGGTGCTTTTTGTACTTCCGCTAATGCCCTTGGTGCTGTCGTCAGCGCCGGTTCTCTCATCCAAGTGCGACGTCGACCGCGACTGGCGGAAGCGGAAATAGTCGGCGGAAGCTCCGCGCACAGGCGGTCGAGCACCTGTGGCGGAGCCCGGTCGAGCACCTGTGGCGGAGCCCGGTCGAGCACCTGTGGCAGAACCCGGTCAAACACCTGTGGCGGAACCCGCGGCGCTTATCTTTCGCGCACCCGTTGCGATTTTCGCGCGGCGCGGGCTGAAGAGGCGGAAACACCCGCCGGGAACGTCCGCGCCGGCGTTGCTGTCGTCAGACCGGTAACCGCCGGCGGTGCCGCATTTCGCGACGGCGCTGCTTCCGCGGCGGCGGCGCTGCTTTCCGTGACTGCGCTTTGCGCCATCGCCGCCCGAGATTGCGCTTGCGCCGTCTTTCTTGTCGCATGAGCCTTTCTTGTCGCTTGCGCCTTTCTTAACGCTTGCGCCTTCTGCAGCTGAGCATCCGCTGCGCGCAGGCTTCGCAGACGCCGCCACCGCCGCATCGTCGCGCCACTGCGCGTCCATCTCGAGCGACGGCGCGGCTTTCCGCCGAACAACTTCCGCGTGCGGGGTGCGCACGGCGGAAAAACTGGCTCCGCGGGGGGTTTCGACCGGAATCACAAGATCTGCGAGGTCGTACCTATTAGTAGCAGCAGTAAGAACGTGATGGCTGCTACTACTGGTAGGCTCGTGATCGTGGCTACTAGCAGTAGGTACTACTAGCACGAGTCTGCGTGGTTTTTGCCGAATGACGTTCCCAGCCATGACGACGACGCTCTTCCCGGCCAGTATTGTTTTCCCTAGTAGCTCCCGGCACCGGTAATAGCAGGACCGCTCTCTCGAAGAGGCGGTTTACCGCACTGCTCGAAGAAGGAAGAAATCTACGAGGCTTGAGCGCCTCAGTGATGCGTATCACGGGCCGTGCAACTACTGCACGAGTTGACGTCAAGTCAGAAGCTTGAGGCACCTCGCATGACGGGGGAGAGGAAACTCGTGACTGCTCGGGCCAGTGCGCGAAAAATCGAGGCGGGACCTAGTATTTCGTCGCGCCGTAGTATTAGTACCAGCAGTAAGCCGGGATATTTCTGCCTGCGTAGTTCCGCCAGGAAGTCTCAAGATGAACGGTATGCCGAAGCAACTGGAGGTAAACAGTCGGCGGTAACAGGTATTACTCGGAGTAAATGCTCGGAGAGGCCCCGTCGGCGGTTGCTGCAATTGCCACCCGTCATGGCAGCTGCACGCCGCCCGCCCGCCGTTGACAATTGCCGTTGACATTGTGTGGCACGACGACGGGATTGGCCGCTGACTAAGCTAACGAATAGCATGACAGTGACACGGATCGGATGCGATGCACGGCAGATGCGTTGAACACAAGGAATACAGCGGCGAGGCGACTCAAAGAGCCGCACGTTGTAGCTGGTTTCGTTCGAGACAAAGGCTGCGAGACAAGCAGCTATTTGCTCCAGATGAAGAGCTGATGAAATAGAGGTGAACTGGTGGCGGAACATGAGAGCCAGAGTGGCAAGGAATGGACTGATTTGTAGTCCAGAGGTAAATGCGGATGGGGAAGATATTTCTGGAATGCGGCGACAGGGAACACGATCGAGAGAGAAGAGAAGAGGTGGGACGAGATGGAGGATGTAAATTTTGAAACAATGGATAACGATTGGTTAGGATGGGTTGAAAGTGGCGCTAGTGGTGATACAGTAGTGGGGTGTTGAGCAGGGGGTGCGGGGTGGGCGGGTGAGGTGTGGAAGGGGCGGAAGGTTGGGGGTGCTAATGTTTTAGCTCGATCGGTACGGTACGGTGTTCGATAAGCCATCCATCTAAACACTCCATCAGGCAATTTCCCTCCTTAAAAACCATCATCAAGCATTTAAACACTTCATCAAGCGTTCGGCCAGCCATTCTTCTAAGCAGTATTGGACAAGAAAACATACGGTACTTGCTTACATCCTTGCACATGTATTTTTCTACAATAAATGCTTCCAGGGAGTGCAATTTGACATATCAACAAGAAGCTCAGTACTGTCTGAACGCGGCTTGTCGCCATACGTCAACCAAGGCCAAAGTCAGGAAAAGCTTCGCACGAGTGAAACCGCCTCACACGCACCACCTTGTTGAATGAGACCTGCTTCTTCAGCCTGCCTCTCCCTCCCAACCCACTCCCAATCTCACCCCCAAGCGATAAACACGATTTCACAGGGCTCTTAGGAGGAAAGGGGCTCTCTGTTTCTGCCCCCTCATGCCCATCCACTCCCCTTTCCTGCCTCCTACCCGCTCTCCCTCCCGCCTCACCACCATGCCTTGCAATTGCCGCGGCTCCTAGCAGCTCATCCGGGCTTCCGGTTTGTGTGCCTTGCAGTGGGATGCAGCCTTCACTCTGCGACCTTGTAAAGTGCCGCGCGTCTTGGGCCATTCTTACGTGTTGCGACGCCCCAACATGCGACCTTGTGAAGTGCCGCGTGTCTTGGTCGATTCTTATGTGTTGAGAGTGAGACGCCTCACCATGTGACCTTGTGAATTGCCGTGCGCCTTGGTCAATTCTTATCAGGTGGTGTGAGTCATGCTCCGGCCTCATCAACTCGTGTCCATCCTGGTCTTGGTCTATCCTCGTCACCTGTTGTGAATCTGGCTCCGCTCTCGGACTGCCTGGGACCGAGAGAGGCCGGAACACCAACGAGTGGGCCCGGGGCACAAGTCCCTCTCTTCGCCCACCACCCCTGCCAACTCCCTCTCTCCCTCTCGGGCTTACACGCAACTCCCTAAATACTCCTTCCTGAGGCGCCTCGGAAACAGAGGAAGCGGAACCCTGGCTGTCCTCCTTTCCCCTGCCAAATCCATCCCACTGTCCCGCTGCATCTTCACCCAACCTCTCCCCAACAGAGGAAGAGGGGGAAATCCTGGGGGAACGCGTGGGGAAGCGGGGGGGCTTGGATGGTGAGATGGGGGGGAGATTGGGGGGAGGCTCAGTGGGGATGAGGCAGGGGAAGGTGGGGGAATGGCAGGGGGAGGTGGGGGTATGGGGGGAAGAGGCGGAAGGGTCTGGTTGAGTCTGGGGTGTGCAGGGGAAATTGGTTGGGGAGGGCCTGTGTTGGCGGAACGGTGGGGGGGGAGGGGAAGGCAGAGGCGCATGGGGGGAGGTCGGGGGGGCTAGGGTGGGTGGGGAAAGGGTGAGGGAAGGGGAGCGGGAAGGGGAGAGGGAAAAGGAGGGGGACGGGGAATGGGAAAAGGAGGGGGAAGGGAATGTGGCAGGAGTTTGGCTTGAGGGACAGTTGCGTACGCTCCCAGGGGCGGACTTGGAACGGGTCACGGGGGCAAGGGGAGTGGCGGAAGGGGAAGTGGGGGAAGGGGGAGTGGCGGAAGGGGGAGTGGCGGAAGGGGGAGTGGCAGGAGTTTTGCGTGGGGGACAGCTGCGTACGCTCCCAGGGGCAGACTTGGAACGAGTTACAGCGGAAAGGTGAGTGGCGGAACGGGAAGTGGGGGAAAGGGGAGTGGCGGGACGGGAAGTGGGGGAAAGGGGAGTGGCGGAAGGGGGAGTGGCGGAAGGGGGAGTGGCGGAATGTGGAGTGGTGCGTTCTGTAGCGAACCCAGGTCTGCTGCGGGGATTGCAAGCTAACCTCGCATCATACTTGCCAGAACCTGCCTCGAAATCTTTGAAATCTTTGAAAGCTCTGAAAGCCCCGGAATCGCGTTCTATAACGGAGCCGGCTCTGCGGGCAGTGCGATGATTGCTGTTAAAGCTTGTCTCTACACTTTCTAACGCCTCGCAAGTGCCAGAATCGCGTTCTATCACGGAGCCTGCTCTGCGTGCCGTGCGGTGATTGCCAATCATTACAGTGTGCTCAGTGCCTTTGCTACGGCTTGCCTCTGAACCCTCTAACGCCTCCAAGGCTCTGAAAGATCCGGAACGGCGTTCTATCACGGACCCTGCTCTGCGGGCGGTGCGGTGATTGCCAATGCCCATCACAGTGCGCTCAGTGCACCCTCCATGATTGCTAACGCTTGCCGCTGAACCCTCCAACGCCTCGAAGGTGCCAGAATCGCGTTCTATCACGGACCCTGCTCTGCGGTTGATGCGCTCAGTGCGGTGATTGCCAATGCCCATCGCAGTGCGGTCGCTAACGCTTGCCGCTGAACCCTCTAACGCCTCCAAGGCCCTGAAATCGCGTTCTGACGCGGACGCGGCTCTACGGGCGGTGCGATGATGGCCGTGCGCGGGCGGCTGACCAGGCGGAGCATGTGGAGCAGTGGAGAAGACGAGCAGTCGGGTGAGTCGTGGGGAAGGTGCAAGGCGAGGCGACGGTGACGCGGGTGGATGGGGCGAATGAGGAGCATTGGGAGTATGGGGGAGGGAAATATGGGGCTGATGGGGCGTATCGGGCGGTTGGGGCTGGGAAGTATGGGGCGCAAGAGGCGGAGACAGCATTGCGAGCAGATGCGGAGAGGGGGAAGTGTCGCTGGAGGCGGGGGAAGAGGAGGGGAGCTTTTGCCAAGCCGCCAGCGCCGCTGCTCCTGCTGCCTTTGCTGCTTCGCCACCTGTCGCTTTCCCCCCAAACGAAAGATCTGCTCCCCATTCCCCTCCGCCTCCCCTTCCGCCTCCCCCTCCGCTTCCCCCTCCGCCTCCCCCTCCGCCTCCCCTTCCCCTTCCGCCTCCCCTTCCGCTCCCCCTTCCGTCGCCAATGCTCATACTACCGCCATGGCTGCCCTCAGGACTACCACCATCTCCAGAGCTGCGTTTGCCATTGCTTCTGCTGCTTCTGCTGCCGCCAACGCCCTCGCTACTACTACCACCATCGCCAGCGCGGCTCGTCTCGCGAGGAGATCTCGCGTCCGAGTGCGACCGCGAGCGCCCGCCGCGCACGCGGAAGAGATCGGCGGAAGGTCCGCCGCGCGCAGGCGGCGGAACACCTGTGGCCGCCGCGGAACCGGCTGCGGCGGTAAGTATCTTGCATGCGGTCGCCGCCGCATTTTTCCCTCCGTGGTGGCCGAAGCGCAAGAGGGGGAAGCATCCGCCGCCACCGTCCCCGCCAAGGCTGCTGTCGTCAGACGAGTAATCGGCGCCAGGGGAACCGCTATCCGCCGCGGAGGCGGCGCTGCTTTCCGCCGCGACTGACTCCCGATGATCCTTTTCGCCCTCGTCGCCTGAGGTTCCGCGTGCGCCTTCCTTCGACTTGCGGCTTCCGCCCGGGCGCGCGCGGATCGCAGACTCCGCGGCGAAAGCCGCCAGCGCTTCGTCGCGCCACTCCGCGTCCATCTCGAGCGACGACTCGGCTTTCCGCCGAACAGCTTCCGCGTTCGGGCTGCGCACGGCGGCGGAAGGCGCAACCACCGCCGCAAACCCCGCGGCTCCGGGGGGGGTTTTCTCCCGAACCACGAGACTAGGCACCGTCAGTCCGCGCGCCGACCGCGGAACGACGTCCCCGTGTGGGCTGCGCGGTGCGGCTTCGGAAAGCAGTGGCGGAAGCCCGGGGGAGATCTCTGCTGGCGACGACGTCGCGCTCCTGGTTTCGCTCTCGATGCGGCATTCGGCGGCGCGCACACGCGACGGCGGCGCGCCACTCGCGGCAGATCGACGGATAGTATCGCCGCCGCTACTGTCGGTGTGGGGACGAGGTGGAGTCGACGAGTTCATCGCGCCGCCGCCCGCGCCGATGCTGGAACCGCAAAACTCGGGGTGGGGTATGGTATCACCCGCAGAACAAGATCGGCTCCGAGTCGCATTACCACGTCTCGGAGTCATGATGTCATTTGTACTTTTAGAAGTTGGGGTGGTAGTACCATCGCTACTAGCGGTGACGTCACCCATCGCAGGAACCATGATGATCATAATGACGATGATGCTCTTCTCGCGGAGTACTATCCCTCGGTCGTAGCAGCTCGCGCTGACGCCGCGGCTGTTAGCAACGCCGCGGCTAGAACAAGGAGTCTGCGACGCCGCGGAGCGACTCCGAGGCGTGCGGCGCCGGGTGTCACGGGCCGTGCGTGCGCGGAAGCGTGATATGCCGCGTGAGCTGGACCAAGTCAACAGCTTCAGCCACCTCGACGCGGCGCGATGATAATGCACGAGCTAGACCCAAAGTCAAAAGCTTGAGCCACCTCGCGGCATGATGACGATGGGTGAGAGGCCCTCTTCTCGTAAGAAAGACGGCGGCTCGGCCGAATCCCAGTTCCGCATGGCACGAGAAAACCAGCTGGAAGCTGTCAGATCTAGCAGTACTGCGAGCGGCAGCGCTGCTGGGTTGATATCTGCGTGGGTCCGTTTGCAGATATCTCAATATCTCAATGAAATGCTGCAGGAGAAACCTGAGGTAAATAGTCAACGCCGATAGCACGGGGGATTACTCCCGCGGGAGCTCCACGCTACTCGCCGAGGGCGACGCTGGTAGCGGGGGGGGGTTGATTTCACGCCAGGGGGGAATTTTCGCGCGCCACGGAGGAAATTTCTCGCGGCAATTGCACGCTCGCCTCTGCTCGCCGCAGTAGGGGTCGCCGGTTGCTGTAGGGGGAGTCATGGTGGGTGGACGGGATTGGCCGGTTGCTACGCTGACGAATGACACCCTTGCATGCGACGATTCGTTTGCGATGCGCGGGGGACTGCGAACGGTACAGTACGTATACAGTAGATACTCTGATACACAGAGCGAATGCAGCGGCGACTTGAAAGCTTTTCACGTTGGTCGTGGTAGCCGTTTCGTACGGGACAGAGGCTGCGAGACAAGCGTGACGGGGATAGTAATTCTTGAGGGGGCGGTCGACTGGAAAGCAAGAACGAGAAGGAGAGGGTGAGGAAGAGCAGGTGAGAAGGTGCGAGTGACAGCGACGGGACGGTCTCCAAGAATGAACGAGGATGGAATTAGGGTAGATCGCCAATAACTTGGGATGAGCAAGGGCTGAGGGAACTTCCATTACAGAACGGAAGCTTATGAGAGGTGAGAGGAGGTGATCGTGAAACGCCCTAGCTGAAGAGATGGAAGTGTGGTGGCAACAGCGACAACACACACGAGATCGAGAGGCGGGCGGGTGGACAAACGCGGCTCTTCTTCTCGTTTCGTTTCGGTCCAGCGTTCCAGCTGGCAGGATGATGGCGTCGAGTGCAGTTCAGTGGAACACGGTTTCCCCCTGGCAAAGTGTGAGCACTGGGTTGGCGCAAGAGACGTAGACGAAGCACAGGATTGCCCCGACCCGACTCTCCAAATTAAAAATTAGGCGTGATTTGGGGCTGAAGGAGAAGGATTCAACGGGCTACGTGGTAAATAAGGAATTTCGTTATGGAAAGGAGGATAGGATTATGGCTCCTTGTATCGGGGTTTCGGGCTGCCCTAGTGGTTTGACTTTCAGGTGCCCCCTTGTTTTCCGAGGACAACGCTACGGCGATTTACACGTCGAAGTCCCAATCGAGTTAGAGCCGGTACACATGGCGTATTTTCAAGGATCACTTAGCTGAGATCACCGTCACCCCAATCGTAGGATCATTGGTAGCAAAACAACAAATTTTGTGGGCACATTACGATCCTCGTTGATGTACCAATTCCAATTTTGCATTGGTGATCCTCTGCGACCAGGCGAATCGCAACGAGTCACGAACGCATGAAGACAAGACAGAAGTTGAAGGAGGAGTCAGTTTGTGTTGCGCGGATGCAACTGACCGACGAAAAGACGAACGCATTCATTGGCTGCGATGTTTTACTGCAAGATGGCTCGTCGATTTGAAAGTTCGATTTGGTGAGCGACGAAATCGACCGCTGGGCCTTCTGCTGCGGACTGTTCGACCTCAACTGGATTTGAAAATTGTGCTGTACACCCTCTTTCTCACCTATCTCACCGGCGGAAGCACTGGCTACAGTGTTTGGACGTAGCGGGCTGGTGAGATAACTCGGTTGTGGGTAAAGTCGCACGAGGGTTTGAAACACGCCTTGGGCCGTAAAACCCCATTAACGTTGAATAACCATCCCAACCACTTTGAAAACAACAGTACCGTTACAGAACGTAAAAAACCTTGACTAAACGCCTTGGGTCAAATTGTCACTATAACGCATGTGATAGGACCTTCTTGGGTCCGGTGCGGTCACACTAGCGTCTCGGTCAGTATAACATATGCCAGTCTATCGAGAATGAGGGTGATACAAGTTGCTCCCATCCCGTCCCGACCCGAACCAACCACCCACGCGGTGCCTTCGTTGAATCCAGAAACAACCGCCCCTTGAGTCCATGACCTCATTTGTCTTGTAGTGCTTGAATCACTAGTTCGGTTCGGAACTCTACCGGAGCTGTCTATTGGTCGGAAAAAAAAATTGACGAACCGAACCTCCACTTCGCCCTTCCTAGCCGACTTCAAGCTTTCCTAGCCTCGAATATACACACACTGGGCCGAAGCGCAGAATGCCGCGTATACAGTGTACAGTCGAGAACCTTCGATATAGATTGTCACCTATTCGTTTCATTCGCTGTTATTATGGAGATTGGGTACATATACATATCAGATGTAGATTTGCGAATGAAGCACCACCACCATAGCGATAGTGTACATGCAACTGACCAAAAGTGGCGAAATTCCGTAGGAGGCTGGCGAAATGGAATCTCCACTCCATGCGTAATTGTGCACAAACAACTTGTGCAGGCAAACTTGTTGGGCACGGATAAGCCTTTGCCCAACCAAGAGGAACGTGCACCACCCGCCACATAGAATTCATAGTCATGTCAGAAAAAAACAGTCGCCTTATCAATACCGGAGATGCACAACTCCACACAACAATTCCACCTCCACAATAGCCAGGACGAAATTGCCTGCCATAAGTCAATTAAGAAGTTCCAGTGTGCCTCCACTGCACAAGCGAAACCGGAGATGCACTCCTCGCACCCTCGCACCCTCTCACCATCTCACCCTCACACCCTCTCACCCTCTCACCCTCGCACCCTCTCACCCTCTCACCCTTGCACCCTTACACCCTCCACCACACAAGCATCACCGAAGCTGCACTCCTCTCACCCTCGTACTCTCTGTAGCACACTCTCTCAACCCCCCTCCTCTCACTACTGCATCATCATCATCTTCCATCGCCTGTGGGCTCAAGGAAAAAAATATTATAGGCGCCTCAGAGAATCATCACCGGAGTTGCATTCCTCTCACCCTCTGCAGCCCGCTCCCTCAACCCCAATCCTCAGCCATCACTGCTGAAGTCAGTTTTGCGAACTCTAAAACAATACTTGTTTATCACCCAGCAACAGAAGCATCACCGCAGCTGCACTCCTCTTACTCTTTGCAGCACACTCTCCAAGTCCCCTTTCCCCAGCCATCACTGCTTGAGTCACTCAAAAATTACTCCAACACTAAATGACACAAGCATCACCGCATCTGCACTCGTACTCTATGTAGCACACTCTCCAAGTCCCCTTCCCCAGCCATCACTGTTGCATCCTCCTCCATCGCCTGTGGGCTGATGGAAATAAACGAGAAGGAGATCAACGAGCAAACAAAGAGGCAGACACGAGTTCGATTGGCCGCACGTTTCACAGGATACAATCTTCTGTCCAGATACAACTTGTTTGTATTTTGTTACAACACAAGCGGGCTAGGTACAATCCAGAATGTGAACCTTTCATCCCCTCTCACGTGCCACCCCCACTGCTTACCTGTTTTGAATGGGCCCATGGTCGTGCATCAACTGCACCACATACATCGCCCTCCCCAACACGTCCTCCAAATGCATAAGTTGACCCTTTCCACCTCCTTGAATATGCCGCATGACTAAGCAGCTCACCTGTTCTTAATCGGCCCATGGTCGTGCATTGACCGCACCACATACATCGTTCTCCCTAGCACGTCCTCTAGGTGCACTGGGCCAAACGTGCGGCTGTCCCATGCTTCCTGTGCGCGTTGAGGGAGAAAACGTAAAAGGATTACAGAGTTTTTTCAAGGGGTCCTCACAGAGCAGTCATGCGTCACAGGGCCAAACGTGCGGCTGTTCCATGCCTCCTGTGGTCACAAGGAGAGATTGAAACGGATGTATCACAAGGTTCGTCTGAGCAAAATAAATATTTGAGAGGGAGGGATACAGATGCCAGCATGCGGGAAATAACAGGCAGCGTATGATTCGGATCAGACGCTTAGACCACGGGTCAGCTACAGCCAGTTAGGTAGATTCACCTTCACCTTTGCTAGACCTCAGATCAGATGCCTTAAAAAAAAAAAAAAAAAAAAAAAAAAAAAAAAAAAAAAAAAAACAGTTCTCTCGAGGAAAAGGAGTACCCCTCTGTACCAGGGTGTTCCACTGTCCACATCAACCACCCTATCGAACCCTTTTTCAAGAACTCGTTTCGATGATTCTCAGAAGTGGCACAAGCACGCCGTTGCCTTTTCCAAGGACTCTCGAACACACCCTTGCATGAACTCTAGACATATCACCGTTGCGTTTTCCGACAACCCTTTAATCACCACCCTTGAACATACCTTTTCCATTCCCAAAAAAACTAAAATGATAAATTCCTTGAACATACTTTACCTTCTCCTAGAACCTCAAAGATCAACCCACTGACCATGAATTTGCAGGAACATCAAGGTTGTCTGCAAGCAACCAATCACCCTTGTATATACCTATCCATTTTTCAATTCAAGTACCCTCAAATAACCACCCTGGAACATACCTCTGCAGGAACATCGGGGTTGTCTGCAAGCACCCAGAAGTGAGCACCCTTGAACATACCATTGCAGGGGCACCCACCAGTGCACACCCTACACTATCACCATTGTGCTTTCCAAGCGCCCTTAATCATCACCCCCTTGAACATACCTGTGCAGGAACATCGGGGTTGTCTGCAAGCACCCAGAAGTGATTGTCCTCTATCCGAATCGGCTCATCTGACGGCTGAGATGACACGATCTCGTCTCCAGCAACGGCTGCGACTCGCCGAAACATGATTGTAGGCCTTGCTGTCACGGTGGCGTCACAAGGCTCTGCTGTGGTGGTGGTGCTGCTGCTGCGACTTGCTGGAAGCTCTGCAGGTGCATGGGCGTTGATGGATTCAGAATGCGAGTAAAGGGTTGTGGCCGCTTGGGGACTGACTTGGCCGCGGGATGCAGCAGTGGTTGTGGTTGTGGTGGTGGTTGTGGTTGGGGCCTCAAGGCTCACACATAGCACGTCCCCCACATGAACTCTTCTGCATAAGCAAGCAAAACAGAAAAAGAAAGAGAACAACTGGCTGGCTTGGCCACTAGATGCACCAGTGGTTGCGGTTGGGGCCTCCAGGCCCACACACAGAACGTCCCCCACATGAACCTTACTGCACGAGAGAAAGGGGTTAAGAGGGTTCGAGTGGGATAGTGAGGGATTGAGATAGAATCTGCTCTCACAGTGATGCTCCTGCCTCTTGCTGGAAGCTCCGCTGGTGCATGGGCATTGAGGAATTGCGTGTGTGAATAGAGGGATGTGGCCGCTCGGGGAGTGACTTGGCCGCGGGATGCAGCAGCGGTGGTGGCTGTGGTTGGGCCCTCCAGGCTCACACATAGAACGTCCCCCACATGAACTCTTCTGCATAGAAAGGCAGGAGATTGAGAGGGATTGAGAGGGAGGGATAGAAAGAGATTGAGAGAGGAGCTCGAAATGATGTAACAGAGTGAGCGGCTTACAAAGTGAGCACCTGGCTGACTGGGTCACTGGATGGGCGCTGCAGGGCTCTCCAAGCTCCCCACATATAGCATGCTTCCCCACACCACATGTACCTTATTGCACGAGAGAAAAGGGGACTGGCAGGGGGTTATATGTGTGCATGCTTACACGGCCACTGCATGTATGTGTGCATGCTTACACGGCCACTGCATGTATCTGTGCATGCTAACACATACCATTGCACGTATGTGTGCACGCTTATACGGGCGCCATTGCATGTATGTGTGCATGCATACATGGGCTTGGGGATGTATGTGTGCATGCTTATACGGGTTCAGGGATGTATATGTGCATCTCTGCATGTATGTGTGCATGCTTACACATGTATGTGTGTATGCTTACATGGGTTTAACCTTTAGGGATGCATGCGCATGCTTACACGGAGCGAGGCAGCAGAACCCGATGGAGCACCCACTCGTCCTTTATCCCCTTTATAGTCGGCTTCATGGCCTCGCTTCCAGCCTCTGACGGCTCAGCTGCGTTATCAGTGGGAACTTTTCCTTCATTCCAAGAGCGATGAATTTCATCCAGTTATAGAGTGGTAGCTCCCCTCGTGGATTCCTTGAGTAAAAATACTAACAAGAGAAAACAGAAACGAAAAAAAGGGAAGCGTTTTGAGCTATAGACTGGATTCAAAAGTCATCTAGTCCAGTTATAGGGTGGCAGCTCGCCTCTTGGGTTCATTGTGTTAAAAGCTTGTCAAGAGAACTCGAAATAGGAAAAAAGTGGGGAGATTGGAAAGTTTTCCTTTCATCCCAAGAGCGATGGATTTCATCCAGTTATAGAGAGGTAGCTCCCCTCTTGGGTTCTTCGAGTAAAAAGCCTAGCAAGAGAAAGCAGAAACGAAAGAAAGGGAAGATTTCTGAGCCGATTCAAAAGCCATCCAGTTATCGAGTGGCATCTCGCCTCTTGGGCTCTTCTGGTAAAAAGCCCGAAAATGGAGAGCAGAAACAGAAAATGGGGAAAGTTTTCCTTCATCCCGAGAGGAATGAAGGAAAACCCTGCCACAACGGTCTCTAAACCCTGAACGACTCACATGCTGGCAGACAAAGGCAAGCACTTGAGCCCTCTCCCGGTAGTACTTGAGCTTCGATGACTCACTGATGGGTGCTGTGCCCTGGTGCTGCCAGCACTGGGATGGCTTGAGGGTGTGTGTGACTCACATGCTGGCAGATGAAGGCAAGCACTTGAGCCCTCTCCCGGTAGTACTTGAGCTTCGTCAGGATAGATGTCATGGGAGCCATACTGCCCTGCCTGCCAGGATTGAGATCTTTCTTGCAGTTAGTAAGTCGAATCGTACTGACAGCAACTTGTATGGCTAGCTTATCGTGTAACAACAGCTTGTGTTGGCTACCCTAACTGTTTCAGCTCGTTTGACTGACTGACTCTGACAGCTTCGGTTCCTGTCTGATTGACTGGCAATAGAAGGTAGTTGCACAGGCTACCCTGACCGCTTCCGGTCGTATGACTGGGTGTTTGAGACGGAAAACGGAACGAATGACTTCAGGTGGTAACCTGACTACTTCAGCTTGTCTGCTAGCTCCACTTCAAGACAAGCAGTTTGCTTTCTGCAGCTACTTTGATAATCTCGTGGTTGATTCTGCTTGACTGACTGACTGACTGACTGACTGACTGATCTTGACAGATTCAGCTTGTCTGCTCGCTCCACTGCGGAACCGACAGTTGGCTTCCCGCAGCAACTCTGACCGCTTCAGTTGGTCTGACAATCTGACAAATTCAGTTGACTGTCTGACCGACTTTGATGAATTCGGCTTGACTGACTGATTGATTCTGACGGGTTCAGCCCGTGCGTGCGACTGACAAAGTCTGACAGATTTCAGCTCGTCTGACTGTCCAACTCTGACGGATTCAGGTCGCCTGACTGACTGACTCTGACCGACTCAGTTTGTGTAACTCGTCTGAATGACGGACTCTGACAGATTCAGCTCGTCTGTTAACTCCACTTCATGACCAGCAAATAGATTCAGCTCGTCCGGATTCAGGTCGCCTGACTGACTGACTCTGACTCAGTCCGTCGGACTGACCGACTCTAAGAGCTTCAGCTCGTATGACTGACGGGCTCTGACAGATTCAGCTCGTCTATTAGCTCCACTCCATGACAAGCAATTAGCTTCAGTTCGTCTGACGGACTAAATCCGACAAATTGAACTCTTTTGACTTCCTGGCTCTGCATTGAGCTCGCTCGCTCCTCCCACTTGTGTCGGAGGTACCTTAGTCGAACGGCACTGCAGCTAGTGCTCAAGCGAGCAATAAGCTCCGTAGATCATGTTCTTAGTACAGGAAACTGATGTGAGATTGTCCCTACACAGCCGCTCCCTTTGAAAAGAACATATCGACAATCTAATAATACGTGAGATGATTTAGCTACCCACTCGCACTGCGTTGCTCGCACGCTCAGCTGCGTTGCTCCGCTCACCTCGCCTTATAAATTCCAAAGAATGTAACTTTTATTCTACAAAATTTTACTCGCGATAAGCCTGAATGCGATCTGCGCTCAGATAAGGCTCGGTACGGCTCGGTTCGGTATAAGATACGTGAGAAGTTTCGATCTCGTGCCTACTAACCGAAACGGAAGCGACAGCGAGAGGATCTAGGAATGACGACGCGGACTAGACGCGCGCTTAGTCGTCGTTGAACTCGTGTTCTTGTCCAAGTTACTCAGGGGTTGCTTCGGAACGAGGTATCAAATGCCATGCATCGTGTATGTCCAGAGATAACAAGCTACCAGAGAAGCAAAACAGCGGGCTTTGGATTGTGCGAAGTGGCAGAGGAATTCGCAAAAGGTCCTCGTGATTGCAGTCTCCTTTTTCTACAAACGCAGACCTATCCAGTTTTTGAGCCAGTGTATAACGAGGCAAATAAGGTAATTCTCTGGAAATACAAGCTCAATATGAGCAAGCACACTTGACATGACACTACGTCAATTGGAGAGCATCACCCGATCGAGTGCAAGTCAACTTCTATGAGATTTAATGACCTCCACCATTCTTTTTATGATATCCTCCACATCTTTGCATTCCACAGCCAGCACTCCTGCATCTTGTACCCTGGCTGTAAAACTGCATCAGGGAACGGACAGAAAATATATGAAAATTGGTTATGGAGAGATTAACATCTAGGAATATCTTCATTGCCGTAAAAGGGTAAAAAACACAAAATAGCAGGGGGCATTTCTTAAGCAAAAACTTTATGTTTTGTTATTCATATTCACCTGTGGTATACTGGCTCATGATCAACCGCTGATACCACCATGAACGTCCTTCACAAAACCTTTGTTATGTGTTCACAGCAAAAGCCCGATTCACACAAAAGAAATCTCACCTGCTTCGGATCGGCCCATGATCATCTTCTGATTGCACCACATACAGTGCCCTCTCGAATATGTAGTTCTTATGCACAGGGCCAATGGTGGGGCTGTAAGAGCTGGCTTCACATAAAAAATAAATAACCTCACCTGCTTAGGATCGGCCCATGATCATCGTCTGATTGCACCACATACAGTGCCCTCTCGAATATGTAGTTCTTATGCACAGGGCCAATGGTGGGGCTGTGAAGAGCTGGCTTCACATAAAAAATAAATAACCTCACCTGCTTAGGATCGGCCCATGATCATCGTCTGATTGCACCACATACAATGCCCTCTCGAAGACGTGATTCTTATGCACAGGCCCAATGGTGTGGCTGTTAAGAGCTGGCTTCACATAAAAAAAAACCTCACCTGCTTCGGATGGGCCCGTGATCCTCTTCTGACCGCACCACATACAGTGCCCTCTCGAATATGTAGTTCTTGTGCACAGGGCCTATGGTGCGACTGTCGATAGCTTCCTGGAAGGTGAGGAGGCGGAGGGCGAATAGGTGAATGAGGAGATTGTACCATGAAGGTAAAGGTGAATGAAGGCAACAACCGGGAAAAACGTCTGTGTTGAGTCGGGGTGACCCTTGTGCAAGGCGACTGTATCTACATGCACAGAGTCAATGGGGCGGCTGTCAATAGCTTTCTGGAAGGTGGCATGGGGGAAGGACGAGGTGGAGGGAGAAGCAAGCAGAGATGGAACAATGATATTTCGCACATGCCTCTCTGCATGCCTCTCTGCATGCCTCTCCGCGTGCCTCTCTGTATGACTCTCCCCGTGACTCTCTGCATGCCTCTCTGCATGCCTCTCTGCATGCCTCTCTACATGCCTCTCTGCATGCCTCTCTGCATGCCTCTCTACATGCCTATATCTCTGTATGCCTCTCTGCAGGGCTGCCATATGCCTCACTCTCTGCCTATATCTCTGTATGCCTCTCTGCAGGGCTGCCATATGCCTCACTCTCTGCCTATATCTCTGTATGCCTCTCTGCAGGGCTGCCATATGCCTCACTCTCTGCCTATATCTCTGTATGCCTCTCTGCATTCTGCAAAATACACCTCTATGCATGTCGGAACACTATATGCCTCAATACAGGGCATTAGTGCAAACTTCTTCACTCGTCACCTTTGCAGGCATAGCCAAGCTGTGAGTGAGCAGACAGAAATGACCACCCTTGAATAACACTGTCCTGTCCCTCCTCCACGCAACCTCAGATGACCAACCTTCACTCAACACACCTCTGCAGGAACAGCCAAGTTGTCTGCGAGCAACCAGAAATGGCCCTTCTCTATCCGAAACGGCTCATCCGACGGCTGAGATGACACCATCTCGTCTCCAGCAACGGCTACCACTCGCCGAAAAACAATGGGGAGCTCAGACAGTGGTATACCGGACTTGGGAGGTGACAGAGGGGGAGGAGCATGGGTTGTGCGGTTGACTGTGTTCGTGGCAGCTTCTGATTGGTCCACTCTTTTCCTTTTCATTGCCTTTCTTGGGTTGTTGCTTTTGAAAGAAGAGACTTTGGTTTGTAACCGAAGCGGCGCCCCTGCTTTTGTCCCTTGGGTAGCTATTACCCCCGTTGCTGTCCCGTCATTGGCCGTTGACTCAGCAGACAACTCGGGATTGGCTGATTTCACGTAAAAGGCAGCTGTTGCGGGATCATATCTCATTGCCACGACATCACCAACAGAAATTTCACTGCATAGGCCAAGACATTTGGGAGAAAGAGAGATGAGGAGAAGAAGCAATTATTGCAAGTCAGGAAGAAACACAGACTACCATAGCAGCAGCGACAGCGCTGTAATCTACAAGCGAAAAAGTTTTGAAGTTTCAGTGATGATACAGTGAACTGCAAGAAAAAAGTGAAGGAGCAGTTTTCTTCAAGCAAACGCCACAAATAAGATAAAAAAGACTGGCTTGCAGCACCAGCTAGGCCACAAGGTTCCTTGTAACAGGTACGCTAAAAACAAGAGAGAAAAAAGTGTATTCCATGTAGTAAGCCGATGCGACAAATCAGTTTTGCTATAAAGAAGTCTAAAAACAGAAGCATCCCATGCTGAAGATACTCTAGCTTGAGAAGGGGGTGTTATGTGGAGCAAAAGGGCTCCGCTTGCAAAGCAGGCATCCAGAGTGCTTTCACAGAATCCTTGTAACAGAGCAGGCACAGAGCAGGCACAGAGCAGGCACAGAGCAGGCACAGAGCAGGCACAGAGCAGGCACAGAGCAGGCACAGAGCAGGCACAGAGCAGGCACAGAGCAGGCACAGAGCAGGCACAGAGCAGGCACAGAGCAGGCACAGAGCAGGCACAGAGCAGGCACAGAGCACGCACAGAGCAGGCACAGAGCAGGCACAGAGCAGGCACAGAGCACGCACAGAGCAGGCACAGAGCAGGCACAGAGCAGGCACAGAGCAGGCACAGAGCACGCACAGAGCAGGCACAGAGCAGTCACAGAGCAGGCACAGAGCAGTCACAGAGCAGTCACAGAGCAGGCACAGAGCAGGCACAGAGCAGGCACAGAGCAGGCACAGAGCAGGCACAGAGCAGTCACAGAGCAGGCACAGAGCAGGCACAGAGCAGGCACAGAGCAGGCACAGAGCAGGCACAGAGCAGGCACAGAGCAGTCACAGAGCAGTCACAGAGCAGTCACAGAGCAGTCACAGAGCAGGCACAGAGCAGGCACAGAGCAGGCACAGAGCAGGCACAGAGCAGGCACAGAGCAGTCACAGAGCAGGCACAGAGCAGGCACAGAGCAGTCACAGAGCAGGCACAGAGCAGGCACAGAGCAGTCACAGAGCAGGCACAGAGCAGGCACAGAGCAGGCACAGAGCAGGCACAGAGCAGGCACAGAGCAGGCACAGAGCAGGCACAGAGCAGGCACAGAGCAGTCACAGAGCAGGCACAGAGCAGGCACAGAGCAGTCACAGAGCAGGCACAGAGCAGGCACAGAGCAGGCACAGAGCAGGCACAGAGCAGGCACAGAGCAGGCACAGAGCAGGCACAGAGCAGGCACAGAGCAGTCACAGAGCAGGCACAGAGCAGGCACAGAGCAGGCACAGAGCAGTCACAGAGCAGGCACAGAGCAGGCACAGAGCAGGCACAGAGCAGGCACAGAGCAGGCACAGAGCAGGCACAGAGCAGGCACAGAGCAGTCACAGAGCAGTCACAGAGCAGGCACAGAGCAGGCACAGAGCAGGCACAGAGCAGTCACAGAGCAGGCACAGAGCAGGCACAGAGCAGGCACAGAGCAGGCACAGAGCAGGCACAGAGCAGGCACAGAGCAGGCACAGAGCAGTCACAGAGCAGTCACAGAGCAGGCACAGAGCAGGCACAGAGCAGGCATTGCCTTGACGCAGGTGATACGTTGAGTCGACTCAAGAAGCACATGACTTGGAGATGCATCGATTTAACAAAGCTATCGCTAAATTAGAACAGCTGTGACCATACTCGGGAATACAGGAGGTAGCCAATACTCACCCTCTCTCCCACCCTCTATGCCCATTCCCTCCCTTAATGCCCATTCCCTCCCTTTATGCCCATTCCCTCCCTTTATGCCCATTCCCTCCCTTTACGCCCATTCCCTCCCTCTATGCCCATTCCCTCCCTCTATGCCCATTCCCACCCTCTCTGCCTATTCCCTCCCTCTATGCCCATTCCCTCCCTCTATGCCCATTCCCTCCCTCTCTGCCCATTCCCTCCCTCTCTGCCCATTCCCTCCCTCTCTGCCCATTCCCTCCCTCTCTGCCCATTCCCTCCCTCTCTGCCCATTCCCTCCCTCTCTGCCCATTCCCTCCCTCTCTGCCCATTCCCTCCCTCTATGCCCATTCCCTCCCTCTATGCCCATTCCCTCCCTCTATGCCCATTCCCTCCCTCTCTGCCCATTCCCTCCCTCTCTGCCCATTCCCTCCCTCTCTGCCCATTCCCACCCTCTCTGCCCATTCCCTCCCTCTATGCCCATTCCCACCCTCTCTGCCCATTCCCTCCCTCTATGCCCATTCCCTCCCTCTATGCCCATTCCAACCCTCTCTGCCCATTCCCTCCCTCTCTGCCCATTCCCTCCCTCTATGCCCATTCCCTCCCTCTCTGCCCATTCCCTCCCTCTCTGCCCATTCCCTCCCTCTCTGCCCATTCCCTCCCTCTATGCCCATTCCCTCCCTCTCTGCCCATTCCCACCCTCTATGCCTCCCGCCATACTCACTGCAAGCCAGGAGGCAGCAGATAGCGGCAGAGCACCCACTCGGTGCTTGTCCCCTTGAGAATCGGTTTCATTGATTCGTCTCCAGTCACAGTCGGCCTGAGCGCGCTTAAGTAGTAGTCACGGCTCATCATGATCTTAATAACCTTTTTCGTGAGCTCGAAGAAAGAAGGCGGTGTTCCTGACTGCTTTACGTGGTTCTGAAAGGGCGTGAGGGACGGGGGAGGGAGGGAGGGAGGGAGGGAGGGAGGGAGGGAGGGAGGGAGGGAGGGAGGGAGGGAGGGAGGGAGGGAGGGAGGGAGGGAGGGAGGGAGGGAGTCAGAGCGTGCGGGCCATGCAGCACTCACCATGTACACCAATCTGTGGGTCAACGCGACCATTTTAACAAGGTACGCAAGCCGATGCGACGTTTGGGTCGACTCAGAGGTCGCCTCGCTCACCTTACAAAATCATTCTACTCAAAAGCACTCACCATATACACCAATCTGTGGGTCAACGCGACCTTTTCAACAAAGTAACCAAGCCGTCTCCGCAGTCCCATACTGGCTTTCAAACCCCGGCTTGAAGAGACGAAACCTGGGAATCGAAGTTTAGGATTAATGTGGCAACCCGACTCTGTGTTTCCGCTTCTGGAAGTCCGAACCTGAAAATCCGACTCTGGAAAATCTGATCCTGAGCTGAGCCGGTGAATGGAAATCTGAACCAGGGATTCAGAACCTAAGACCTGGGAAATTGAGACGCTGAGCTGGAGAATCAAAATTCGAGCCAGAGTCCCTGGGAGTCCTGGGGATCGGAGCCTCGCTGGTGACTCTGGTTGCGTTAGCGTCAATTTGGAATCACGCCACCAGAGGACCCCTCGGCTCAGCTCATTAGCAGTTTAGTAAGGAGCTATTTCGCATAGCAGAGCCAGCCTAATAGTATCTCCGACCTTGAGAGGTAAACTAAACTTCTCGCAACGTGTATAAACCGGATTCAAGGACGTCTCAGGGCGACTGCATGATGAGTGCGAACCGGCGAGGCAAAATTATCGTACGCGCGGATTAGCGGTGAAAGAGAAGCTCGGATGATACACGACGGCTACGTCGTTCAGACCGAAGGAGGACGAGGAAAAGGGAGCCAGGAGAACAGCGGCGGATGAGCTAAAGAGATGACGGTAGACGTGTCACTGTTTCATCATCCCTGGGATTTGAGAATGCGTAAGCAAAAAATAGAAATCAAGCATAGACAAAAGGGGTTCCATTGCCGGGACTTGAATCCGGGTCTCTCAGGTGAGAGCCGAGTATCCTAACCGACTAGACTACAACGGATACTACGACTTTACACATGTTATATTTGACATCTTTCACGTTCTGAATTAGGTTTCCTGTGAACTTTTTTCGTGCGTTGATAATGGCGACAGCATTCGTTTGCATTGCACTCTCGCTGCTAAGCTGCACCATTCTAGAATCACCGGGAGCTGAGTTTTCTTCTCCCGACACAGTCCCGTCCAATGCCACTAACCGCAATGGTGACCTTTTCAGCGGGCCTCTGGTCTTACAGCGAGGGTGTGACTCTAACGAGTGGTTGCGAACCATGGCCGTGATTGTGACTCAAGTGAAGGACGGCCTCGATGGCACGAGCATTCTCTGGTTCGTTGTTCACTTCCCCGATTAGAAGCGCCTCGTTATAGAAACTGGCATTGCACATTCTTATCAGAGTAGCTGGAGGTTCAAAGATTTCCTTCGCTTCTCGCTTCTGACTCTTCCTCCTCGTTTTCCTCCTTTTCCTCTTTTCCACCCCACATTGGTTTTCCTTTTCATCGCTCTCTGATTCGATGCCAGCAACGACGAATTCTGCTACCAAATTCCTGATCCCTTCTTGCGACTCAATATCGAGGACCAGGATGGTGGGTTGGAGGGAGAGGGTGAACGGAAAACTGACGAGGATGAGGGTTCTGCTGACGTGGCTGATGGAGGAGCGGAAGCAGGCGCAAGGGCGGATGGAGAGGGTGGAGGGGATAAAATCGGGTTTGCAGTTGGAATGAGGGATGGCGAGGGTAGGGATGAGGAGAGTGTTACAGCAGAGGAGAGTGTTACAGCAGAGGAGAGTGTTACAGCAGAGGAGAGTGTTACAGCAGAGGAGAGTGTTACAGCAGAGGAGAGTGTTACAGCACAGGAGAGTGTTACAACCGAGGATAGTGTTACAGCCGAGGAGAGTGTTACAGCGGAGGAGAGTGTTACAGCAGAGGAGAGTGTTACAGCACAGGAGAGTGTTACAACCGAGGATAGTGTTACAGCCGAGGAGAGGAATGGAGATGGTAGGGGTGAAGGTGGAGGGGAGGCAAGGCGCGTTGCAGCTGGAGTAAGAGACGAGAGGAGACGGGAGGGAAGAGGAGATCCGACGGTGCAGGGAGAAGATTCCGCTGGCGTGGACACACGCAGTGATGCCACGTGTCCTGAGCTTCTCGTCCTGCGGCATGGTGAGTCAGAGGTGTTGCCACGTGAGCCAATCAATGCTCACCACAGCACTTGTGACACGTCATGCCCTCCGTCCAGTTGGTGTAGTATAATCACTCATTCACACTGCCAACACCCATCCCTCCCTCCCTCTCCACCTCTTCCGTGTCTTCCTCTCCATACACACTCTCCATTCTGGTTCACTCCGCTCAGACGCAGAGCAATCATCCTCTTCAACCACTCCTTGGTTTATGACCAATTACTCTCCCTCTCTCCCCATCCCCATCCCAGGCGTGCACCTCTTCCCCATTGGTTCCCCTGCCACTCCTGCTCCTCCCCCCTCCTCTCCAAGCCTGCATCTCGAGCATCCCACCCAGCACCATCCGTCTCGCCCTATGGAACGTTCCTCAGCCCTGGCTCTCTGCCTGCATGCCGCTGCCCTCCCCGCGCTACCCTTCTTTTCACCCTTCATCGCTCCGCCACCACCACTAGAGAATGCAGAAGTGACGATGCACCGGAGAGTGATGCAGGTGAGTGATGGAGGCGAGAGAATGAGAACCCCCCCCATCACTCTTTCTTCCCGCCCTTCTTCGCCCCACCACCACTTGAAAACGCAGAAGTGGCGATGCACCGAAGAGTGATGCAGGTGAGAGAGAAAGAACTCCCCTCCCCCATTACTCGTTCCCCTTGTCTCTTCATCGCCCCACCGCTGCCACTTGAAAACGCAGAAGTGGCGATGCACCGGAGAGTGATGCAGGTGAGTGAATGCGCGACACACACGGCCAGCCTCTCCGTCCTCTCTCACCTCTATGAGTGCACACCCCTGCACGCCACGTCTCCTCTTGCGCTGCCCTTCTTCTCACCCTTCATCGGCCCCCCTTTCTCCTCTAGAGAATGCACAAGTGGCGATGCACCGGAGAGTGATGCAGGTGAGGTGGGTGGGTAGGGGGCACATTGTTTCCCGCTCTCCTGCTCGCTGCTGCGTGTGCTGAGAGAAAGCACAAGTGGCGATGCACCGGAGAGTGATGCAGGTGAGAGAGACAGCCTGGGAAACGAATATGAACCAGATTGTTGCATGCACTATTCGTGGCAAAGTTAGGAGCTCAAGGACACTGCATGCAGTATGGTGTTACGAGATAAATAGATAGCACCAAGTCATTCCATTGATTGGTGGTGCAGGCATGTGCTATTGACAGACGTTGGCAGAGCAGAGGTGCAACCCACTACTAAGAACGGCCAAGGAGGGTTAAAGAATCATTTTCTGCTGCGAGCCCTTACTGTTTGTGCGCTCTGCTGTTTCACCTGAACTCACCTGTTCAGGAGATTGCCAACCTGACGGCTCACCTGGAAGGCGATCCAGGGAATGCTCACCTCCTGCTGGAACGAGGTGAGGCGTTCTTATGCTTCGGTGAAGCCCGTTGGCTTGACTCCAATGCTCTGCTTCGTGCCTTGGTTCAGCATTCTCCGTTTCCCCAGACGCCATACCGCCCCCCAGGGAGCTGCGAGCCATGGTCCTCTTGGGTGGTGAGTTGACTCACAACTTAACCAACCGTCGTTATGCTTCGGTGAAGCCCGTTGGCTTGACTCCAATGCTCTGCTTCATGCCTTGGTTCAGCATTCTCCGTTTCCCCAGACGCCATACCGACCCCCAGGGAGCTGCGAGCCATGGTCCTCTTGGGTGGTGAGTTGACTCACAACTTAACCAACCGTCGTTATGCTTCGGTGAAGCCCGTTGGCTTGACTCCAATGCTCTGCTTCGTGCCTTGGTTCAGCATTCTCCGTTTCCCCAGACGCCATACCGACCCCCAGGGACATAGCGGACAGGAAGCAAGCTCTTACCCTCTTGGGTTGTTGCTATTGTCACTCCACTCACCCCCCAGGCACGGCATGGTACAGCATCCACCGCTTCTCAGAGGCCATAGCGGACAGGAAGCAAGCCGTTGCTATCCTGAACGAGTCCTCTGCTGCTCACTCGAAGCCTCACAGCAGTGGAAGCAATGGGAAGAATGGGAGCATTCGGGGCAACCTTCACCCCTCCGACCTGCCACGAGCTCTGCTCTCCCTGGTAAGCACCCCTCCCTGGCAACAACCACCCATCCGACCTGCCACGAGCACTGCTCTCCCTGGTAAGCACCCCTCCCTGGCAACAACCACCCATCCGACCTGCCACGAGCTCTGCTCTCCCTGGTAAGCACCCCTCCCTGGCAACAACCACCCATCCGACCTGCCACGAGCACTGCTCTCCCTGGTAAGCACCCCTCCCTGGCAACAACCACCCATCCGACCTGCCACGAGCTCTGCTCTCCCTGGTAAGCACCCCTCCCTGGTAACAACCACCCATCCGACCTGCCACGAGCACTGCTCTCCCTGGTAAGCACCCCTCCCTGGCAACAACCACCCATCCGACCTGCCACGAGCTCTGCTCTCCCTGGTAAGCACCCCTCCCTGGCAACAACCACCCATCCGACCTGCCACGAGCTCTGCTCTCCCTGGTAAGCACCCCTCCCTGGCAACAACCACCCATCCGACCTGCCACGAGCACTGCTCTCCCTGGTAAGCACCCCTCCCTGGCAACAACCACCCATCCGACCTGCCACGAGCTCTGCTCTCCCTGGTAAGCACCCCTCCCTGGCAACAACCACCCATCCGACCTGCCACGAGCTCTGCTCTCCCTGGTAAGCACCCCTCCCTGGCAACAACCACCCACCCGACCTCCCCACCCCTCCCTGTGCTGTGCTCCCTCCCTCCACTTGACAGGCTGGCTGGGTGTGCATTGGGGAAGACGCTGAGTGCTTGCCTGCCTATCTCCGCCCGCCCATCCAACCCCCTCTTGCACTTGCCCATCCCTCCCTCCTTCTCCTCCTCCTCCTCCTCCTCCTCCTCCTCCTCCTCCTCCTCCTCCTCCTCCTCCTCCTCCTCCTCCTCCTCTTCCTCCGTCCCCTCCTCCTCCTCCTCCCCCTCCTCCTCCTCCTCCTCCTCCTCCTCCGCCCCCTCCTCCTCCTCCTCCTCCTCCTCCTCCTCCTCCTCCTCCTCCTCCTCCTCCTCCTCCTCCTCCTCCTCCTCCTCATCCTCCTCCTCCTCCTCCTCCTCCTCCTCCTCCTCCTCCTCCTCCTCCTCCTCCTCCTCCTCCTCCTCCTCCTCCTCCTCCTCCTCCTCCTCCTCCTCCTCCTCCTCCTCCTCCTCCTCCGCCTCCTCCTCCTCCTCCTCCTCCTCCTCCGCCTCCTCCACCTCCTCCTCCTCCTCCTCCTCCTCCTCCTCCTCCTCCTCCTCCTCCTCCTCCTCCTCCTCCTCCTCCTCCTCCTCCTCCTCCTCCTCCTCTTCCTCCGTCCCCTCCTCCTCCTCCGCCCCTCCTCCTCCTCCTCCTCCTCCTCCTCCTCCTCCTCCTCCTCCTCCTCCTCCTCCTCCTCCTCCTCCTCCTCCTCCTCCTCCTCCTCCTCCGCCTCCTCCCCCTCCTCCCCCTCCTCCTCCTCCTCCTCCTCCTCCTCCTCCGCCCCCTCCTCCTCCTCCTCGTCCTCCTCCTCCTCCTCCTCCTCCTCCTCCTCCTCCTCCTCCTCCTCCTCCTCCTCCTCCTCCTCCTCCTCCTCCTCCTCCTCCTCCTCCTCCTCCTCCTCCTCCTCCTCCTCCTCCTCCTCCTCCTCCTCCTCCTCCTCCTCCTCCTCCTCCTCCTCCTCCTCCTCCTCCTCCTCCTCCTCCTCCTCCTCCTCCGCCTCCTCCGCCTCCTCCTCCTGTTCTCCTCTTTCTCACCTACCTCTAGTCGTTCTGTTGGCTCTATTCTCTCACCAATCCATATCTTCCTTCCAATATTCACTCTCCTGATGTTATTCCTTCTGATCTGTGAAAAACCCTCCCAAATTATCATACCTTTCATTTGCACCTGGTGATACAACGCCCGTTCCTTCGCTCCCCTGTCCCCCTCCTCCCGATGATTCCCACCTTTGGCAGCCATCTACGAAACGAAAAACCGCATAGATGTGATGCAGCATTGCGACAAAGCACCCGACAGGGAGGAGCGAGAGGAAGGGGCCAAAGAGTCCAAAGAGATAAGAGGAGGAGAGGACACTCACTTGCAGGGTGTGGGGAAGGGTGGCACAAAGAGGAGGACCGCGAGGGAAGAGTGTAAAGAGGGCGGAAAACAGCTTCAGCTCCTTGGTCTGGATCCATGCAAGGAAAGAGGGTCTATTGAGCAACGCGAGGAGGAGGAGGAGATAGCACGAAAGAGAGTGCGAGTAGACGAGGAGTCGACTTTTGAGGCGCCCCAAAAATTGGACCCATGCAAGGGAATGGGATCCATTGAGCAATGCGAGGAGGGGGAGCATCTGACAAGAAAGAGAGTGCTTTTAGAAGAGGATGAGGGGTTGAAGGGAGGTGGCTGTGATGGTGGTGAGGTTGGGAGGGGTGGTGGGGATGGGGATGCTGATGTGGATCGGAATGGTGGTGCTGATGAGCATGGTCATGTGGATGGGCATGGGCATGCGGATGGGAATGATTGTGCGGATATGTATGGTATGCTGATGGAAGCATGGGAGAAGGTGGGGAAGAGATGTTGTGAGAGGCAGATGTGTGCACCAATGCTTTCGACGCAGCTGGCGCTTGGCCTTGGGAATCGTGGAATGAGAGAGAGTGCTGGGGAGGAGATGAAGGAGGTGGAGGAGGTGGAGGAGAGGGTGGAAAGGGAGGGACGGACGGCAAGTCCGGGGAGAGTGGAAAGGGCTAGTGCATGGCATGAGAAGCCAGATGGGCAAAATCCTGGGAAGGAATCTGGGAAAGAGCAGAGGAAGGAGGACGGGAAGGATGAAGAGAAAAGGTACAGAATGGAGCCAAGGAACAGAGCGAAGGGATTTGGAGCAGCAGAAATGAGTGACGATCATCAAAGAGAGATGAGGGAGTGGGGTCGGGAGCTTGGTGCTCTGTGGGAGGTTCGAGCGAGGGAGAGTGCAGCAGTAGGTATTGTGAGAGCAGCAGAAAATGCTAGGAGTGTTGGTGTGGCTGCTGCTGCTGACATTGCCATGAGTAATGCTGCACCCCCTGCTGCTGCTGCTGCTGCTGCTGCAAATGCTGCAAATGCTGCTCCTGCTCCTGCTGCTGCTGACACTGCCATGAATGATGCTTCGGCCTCCACTGCTGCACCCTCCAGTGCTGATACTGCAACCCCTGCTGCTGCTGCTGCTGCCGCTGCCACTACTGCAGGTGCTAACGTAAATCATATCACAGATACACCTGTCCCCCCTGCCGCAGCTCCTTTTGAAGCCACAGCAGGTGGCATGCAACGCGCACTGACATTCTCCTCCTCATGTGGCAGTGATGCAAACAGGGGTGACTATAACAAAGGGCTCGCAAGGAGTGACCAAGGTAGCGGAGATGGCGAGTTTGGAGTGGCAAAAAAGGGGCTGGAAGGAGGGGGCATGGAAGCAGCAGAAGCATGTGCAGCAGAAGCATGTGCAGCAGAAGCAGGGTATTTTAGGCGACTGGGTAACCAAGGGAGCAGAGACGGCGAGTTTGGAGGGCCAAAAAAGGGGCTGGTGCGAGGTGTGGGTGCTTCTGCTGCCTCACTTTCTGGAAAGGGGCTGGAAGGAGAGAACAAGGAAGCAGCAGAAGCATGTGCAGCAGAAAGTGAGGCGGCAGGTGGGGCAGCAGTTGGGGCAGCAGTTGGGGCAGCAGTTGGGGCAGCAGCAGGTGCAGAAGCAGCAGGTGCAGAAGCAGCAGGTGCAGAAGCAGCAGGTGCAGAAGCAGCAGGTGCAGAAGCAGCAGGTGCAGCAACAGGAACATCATCAGGTACAGAAGGAGCCGGTTCAACAGCAGCAGGTGGAGCAGCAGGCACAGCAATAGTCACAACAGAAGGTGCAGCAGCAGCAGCAGCAGCAGAAGCAGCAGGTGCAGAAGCAGCGGGAGGAGCTGCACCAGGAATAGCATCAGGAATAGCATCAGGAGTAGCATCAGGAATAGCATCAGGAATAGCACCAGTAATAGCAGCAGGAGTAGCATCAGGAATAGCACCAGTAATAGCAGCAGGAATAGCAGCAGCAGGTACAGGATCAGGTACCGAGTCAAACGTTGGTACAGGAGGCGGCACAACTTACAAGGTAGCTGGCAGCGGTTGCACAGGGTCAAATACACGCACAGAGAAACAACACGAGGTTTTGATGGCGGGGAAGCGGGAAAGGGAATCAGGAGCAGGGAAACGGAGGGAGAGTGTTTCGGAAGGGAAATTTGCAGCAGGTGCAGCAGCAGCAGGTGCAGCAGCAGGTTCCGGCAGCAGTAGAGGGAGAGAAAGGAACAGTCCACGAGAGCAGAAACAGAGGGATAGTGTTTCGGAAGGAAAAGGTACTGCTGGTGATGGTAGCAGCAGTGAGAGGGAGAGGAATAGTACATGCAAGCAGAAACGTTCAGCCAAAAGCGTTATTAAAGAACTACCTTCTAGTAGGAAGGAGCGTCTTAAAGGGAAGTCTTGTGATGGCAAAAGGGAGACAAAGGGAGGTAAGAAAGTAATGAAGATTGATAGAGGGGCAAAGGTGAAGGAGGGAAAGAAGGTGGGAGTTATCAAGAGGGCAAAGACAGTGAGTCCAAAGAGAGTTAGGAGTGATGGGGAATGGAAATCTGGGGGTAAGGATGGTGCAAAGAGTGATGGTCACAATTGTAGTGATAGTGGTGATGGTGGTGGTGGTGCTGGCGGCGGCGGTGGTGGTGGTGGTGGTGGTGGTAATGGTGGTGGTGGTGGCGACGATGGTGGTGGTGGTGGCGGTGGTGGTGGCGGTGGTGGTGACGGTGGTGGTGGCGGTGGCGGTGGTGGCGGTGGTGGTGGTGGTGGCAGCGGCGGCAGCGGCGGCGGCGGCGGCGGTGGTGGTGCTGCTGCTGCTGATGGTGATGGAGGTAGTGAGGGTGGTGATGGTAATAATGGTGGTTTTGATGATGACGATGATGATGATGATGGTGGTGGTGGTATTTTTAGTGGCAGCGGCAGTGGTCAAGGTGGTGGGGGCAGTGGAAGCGCCAATGGCAGTGGCAGTGGCAGGTGTAGGAGAAGTGGTGCTGGTGGCAGTGGCAGTGGTACCGGTGGGGATCACAGTGGGAGTCGGCACGGTGACACAGCTAATGGCTCCGGAAGGCTGCATGGAGGGAGAAAGCCGCGCCGGAGCTGGTCGCCGGACATTCACAAGCGATTTCTGGACGCATTGGAGAGGCTTGGTGGCTGCCATGGTGTGTATACGAACCGTTGAAACCACCTCCCCTGCCTTTTTCCCTTCTCCTGTGCTTGCGATGCTGGTCACTGGACATCCACAAACGATTTTGAGATGCATTGGAGAGGCTCGGCGGCTGCTATGGTGCGTATGCGAACCTTCTGGTATCCCCCCCTTTCTTCCCTTCTCCCGTTCTCGTGATGCTGGTCGCCGGACATTCACAAGCGATTTCTGGACGCACTGGAAAAACTCGGCGGCTGCTATGGTGCGTATACAAACATAAAAGTATTTTTGAGACGTCTCAAAACGAATTTACCTTTAACATCCACAAGCGATTTGTGGATGCACTGGAAAGGCTCGGTGGCTGTTATGGTGCGTATACAAACCTTCTGTTACCCCCCCCCCCTTCTCACAATCTAGTGATGCTGACTCCTCTCGAGGTTGGTACATCATGTAATTGATTCACACTACCATGCATGTGATGTGACGTGCGTCGTTCTCGATTCCTTGCGACTTTCATGTGCACGATACTTTGTGTCAGTTGCTCATTTACTCTCATCTCTATTCCTCTTGAATCCATTCCTCCCTCCTTACAGTGGCCACACCCAAACAGATTAAGGAGCTAATGAAAGTCGATGGTTTAACGAGCGACGAGATCAAGAGTCATCTGCAGGTACTAGTTTTCTCTGAGTTTTCCACCCATGCAAATCCCTGCTCCACCACTTTGCACTGTACTTCACCTCCGTACCTGCTGAGCAACTTTATTTTGATATATTTTAATAATCTTCTTGATTTTTTTTCGTTCTTACAAGACAACGCCATGTAACCCTAATAAGTCATCCGGACTCACCTTTTCTATCCTCTTTCCGCACGCAGAAATATCGCCTTCAGACTCACCATCCTCCTAAAGAAGCATGGTCAGCTGCTGCTGCTGCTGCTGCTGCTGCTACATCAGCAAAAGCAGCAGCAGCACCAACAGCAGCAGTAGCTGGGGCATCAGCAGCAACAGCTGGGATTTCAGCACCAGAAGCCGGGTCATTAGTGCCTTTAGCAACCACGGGAGGGGGGCATGGAGGATTAGCAGCAGCTGGAGTATCAGCAGGAGCAGCAGCATCTGCTGCAACGCTTCCAACATCGACAGTAGCAGGTGGGACTTTGTCTCAGGGACACGTGGCACCTGCTCATTTGCTGGTTCTGGGAAGCATTCTCGTGCCTTCATTGACTGGCCAGGTCCCCCCACCAGGAGCGCCTAACTGGCTCAGCCACGTCAGCAACATGCGTCAACCTACAGCTGGCCACTTCAGCAATGCAGAGCAATCTACACTCCATCACATACTGCAGCAGCAGCAGCAGCAGCAGCAGCAGCAGCAGCAGCAGCAGCAGCAGCAGCAGGTACGAATTGCAGAGCTGCAGAGCAGCCAGGTGGCACCTCTTGATCCTTTCTGGCAGATGCAGATGCAGGCATACCAACATTTTCAGCAGCAGCAGTCACAGCACCAGAATCAGGTGCAGCAGCAGCAGGCGCCACAACAGCAGCAGCAGTTGCAGCAATTACAGCACCAGCAGATGCCGACACAACAGTTGCAGCCATCACAGCAGCAGCAGTTGCAGCAGTCACAGCAGGAACAGCTGCCGATGCAGCAGTTGCAGCAGCAAAATTCCCAACAGCAGATGTCCCAGCTACAGCTTCAGCTGCTGCAGCTACAACCGCTGCTGCAACAGCAACAATCACAGCAGCAGCAGCAGCAGCAGCAGCAGCAGCAGCAGCAGCAGCGACATACACAACCACCTGCAGAGCAGACTTGGAACCATTTGCAAGGAGGGTTCCATCCCGCAACTAACAGCCTTCCCCATTTGTTCTCACCTCTTTCTTCTCCAACTGCTCCCACCAACCCTGCTCTCCTTCCCACCAACCCTGCCCTCCATTCCCCCAGTCGTGCTCTCATTTCGACCAATCCCGCACTCCTTTCGCCCAACCATCCAGTCCTTGTCACCAACCCTCCACTCCCTCAACCAGCCCCTGACTCCCCTTCGCTTCCTTCCCCCTTGGTTCGCCCTATAGCCCTATACAAACTTTTTGTGATACAACTCATTTCTTTAACATGCCCGATCCTTGTTCATGCTATGACTGCTTTTGTAAGTCATTTTTCCTTCTTATATCATGGTACTACAGTGTTGGCGCAATGTTAAGCACTACACTCGATTTACAACAGAATATTGAAGGCAGGGAATGGTGCCCTCAGTTAGTGATGATTGCCAAGCGAAGGGTGTGCAAACTTTGGAGAGCTTAAGGAGTGACGGATTATACACTCCGTTTAACGAGTAAACACACAAAGAATACACCCTATGGTTCGACAGAGAATGTCTTGGCTTTGCTTGAGTATGCAGACGAAGGAATTTTTCATAGGCATGGCTATCTTTAGGGTTTATGACAACGCTTTCAGAAGCCTTTGAAATCACTGAAACATAGGATTCTAGTCATGGCATTAATTGTTGGCTCTTTGAGCCAGTTAGTCATGCACTCTCACCCTCACAATTGAGGCACTTAATGGATATTTTAGCCTCCATTATACAGGTGTAGGTCTGATTCATTTGCACTCTTTTCTTAATGACTACATTGTATCAACATGCAACAAAAGGCATTGAAAAAAAACACGCGCGCACGTGCACATAGACACACACACACACACACACACACACACACAGACACAGACACAGACACAGATACAGACACAGACACACACACACACATACACACACCCACATACACACATACACACATACACACACATACACACACACATACACACACACACACACACATACACACACATACACACGCACACACACGCACACACACACACACACACACAAACACAGACACACACACACACACACACATGCATACACACACACACATACCCAGGCACAAATACAGACACAAATACAGACACACACACACACACACATACACACCCACACACACACATACACACACACACACACACACGCACACACACACACACGCACACACACACACACACAGATACACACACACGCACGCACACATACGCACACACACACACTCACACACACACAAAC